ATATATATATATATATATTTAAAGATGTATTTTTCCTTTTTTATTTTATGTGCTGTTTAAAAAAATCATCTAAGTTTGCAGGTTATATTTTTTTCCATTATAATGAACCAAACTTTGAAGAATAAATATTAATGAGATGAATGTTTTATAAGAAAGTAGTCATAAATACAATGATAAAACAGGTTAAATATTTTAACACAAGATAGTGAAAATTATATAAATACAGAGTCTTGTTGGCATTTGGAATTACATAAAAACTTCTACAAATCTATATTATTTCTAGGTAAAGTAAGAATTATGGAGGTGGAGAATACTGTTGTTTTTAAACAAAAGGTTAGCTTTTTTGATGTTATAATAAGGCTTGGAGATAATATAATTTTTATCTCATAACTTTAAGATTTGAATTTGAGTAGAATTTCTTTCAATGATGTTGGGTTCTCTTCAAGACCATTTTTGAAGACACGCACATTTGAAAGGTGTCTGGACATTTTATAATTTTGATTGAAAATTTTAAGAGCCTAGACACTTCTAACTCCTTTATCCTTCTGATTAACCTCCCCCAGGCTGGCCTTGACAAAGGGTTTGGCTCAAGTTGGTTTCCATATGAACCATGCTTTATTTAAGGAGGTATTTCTATCTAAAACTCCATTTGTATAACTAGTTTGCTCATCTCCGTTCTATAACATTCCCCATTTTCTTTGAGCACCTGTATTCCTGTGCTCCCACATCCAGTCTACATGAACAAGCACACTGCAACAATGTTCCAAAGAAAAGAAAACAAAGTGAAATGGTGGGCTGGCTGTGAGGAAGGGGATAGGGCAGTTACTGTAAGAGTGGTCAGAAAAGATCCCTAAGTAATGACAGATGAGCGGGGCCAGAACAGTGAAGAGCCAGCCACTCAAAGAGCCTGGGGTTGGGGGAAAGGATGTACATTCCAGGCAGTAGGAATGACCATTGCAAAGACCCCGGGTCAGGAATGAGGTTGGTATACCTGAGGAACCAAATGGCCAGTGGGGCCACAGCAGAGTAAAGCAATCCATGGTAATAGAGGACATGACTCCAAATCTTATACAACACATCCTGTTTTCTCTATTAGGATCTCAAGAACTTGTCTCCTCCATTTCATCCCCGTAATTACTTTTATTCTGACCCTAGTAACCTATAGCTGAAATTATTACAATAGCATTTGCACTTGTTTATTGCCTGAGATATACTTCCCCTAACTTTCTGTTGACTCTAAAAATTTTTAAATTTGAGTAGAATTTCTTTCAATGATGTTGGGTGCTCTTCAAGACCATCATTTTTGAAGGCCTCCACAAGAGAAAGGTGTCTGGACATTTTATAATTTTGCATCATTATCTCCTCAGAAAAACCTTCCCTGACCCACTCACCCTGATTGAGCTGGGTGCCTTTCCTGTGTTCCTAAGCATCCTGCGCCTACTTCCCTTCAGCACTTACCACACGGAATTGTCATTATGTTTATTTATCTAAGCTCCTTCAGGACACATAGTGTATAATTTACCTCTGCATTCCCAGGCCCTATTTAGACCAAAAAGTGACTGCCAAATAAATATTTAAATATCACGAAATCTATTGCTCAGTTGATCACCAGTCCTAGGACTTAACAACGAGAAATGCTATAGGAGGAGCCCATGGCCAGATACGGTAATAAACGCTGTCTAAAGAAGTTTGAAATTTAACTGTTATGCTATTCTGATAATCTTTCTATATAATTAGTACTACCAATTGTATTATTCACTACTAAATATATTTTTACAATTGAAATTTAAGCTCTAACTTATCCCATATGTAATTGTACATTACTAACCTTATCGATTTCTCCAACTTTTTTCAAATGGAGATATGCCATTCTATTTCAGAGAAAACAATTAACTATACATTTGGTAAGCAGAATTATACCTTAGCTCTTGAAAGCTAACTAATACCTTATCTTTACCACTCTAACCCCAGTGCTTAACTTTCTGTTGAATGAACACGATTTAAAAAAAAAAAAAAAAATTATGTTTACTTATTTGAGAGAGAGAGAGGGAGAGAAAGAGACAGAGTGTGGGCAGGGGAGGGGCAGAGAGAGAGGGAGATACAGAATCCAAAGCAGGCTCCAGGCTCCGAGCTGTCAGCACAGAGCTCAATGAGGGGCCTGAACCCACAAGCCGTGAGATCGTGACCTGAACCGAAGTTGGATGCTCAACTAAGGTACCCAAGTGCCCCATGAACGTATGATTTTCATGAGACCTCTACATCAAATTTCTAAGATTCTCAGTTCAAATTTCAAATGTAAATTCTAATTATCTAATTTGAATAGTTTAATAGCAACCTATATAACTTGATCTCATATTTGGTGTCAAATTGT